AATGTGATATTTTTGTGTTTTTTTTTTTTTTTTTTTTTTTTTTTTTAAGTGTGGCTACATAAATACTTATCTGTACCATGTTACCCTCCTGAAACTGGTAGAACATTTAGCCATATGTTCAAATGGTTTGACAAATGTTTGTAGACAATTTTAAGTTTGGTGGTTTGTTTTGATTAGATTTGTTTTACGTCATATTATTGGGAATATCATGACAAATGGTCACGTTTTCCTAGTATTATGACATTTAGCAGGCTTTAACCAACTTGATTGAAATGATTCAGATGTCTCCATGTATGTATTAATTATTTTTGTATTTCTCTTTTGCAGACGGTTCATAATCAAATTCTTCAAAAATATCGCAAAATTAAAAAGGTAACTTTTTAAAGCTTGCCAATATTTATCTCAAGATTACTGCATTACGGTCCACGCATGCGTAGGTAACAATACATAATGACTTTCTAAAGAACTGCACACAAAAAAATCAATTTTAAGCATTACACGCATTTGTAACATTTTTGATAGTATTTTATCTCCGTAAAGATGTCTCTCCATGTTTCTTGTGCAGACTAAATAAATGCAGTAGCACCAGTTGGAAGGTGAGGCCTTGATGAAACATTGCATGTACACACTGCGTGTACTTTACATCTTGTTAAGCTTGTTGTGTTTATAAGCCCATTGTACGGTGGAAAGTTGTATTATTGTATGTAAAGGCAAGCTGGGCTATGTTCAGTTATTGCTTCAGTTTTCTTGACGTCTTTTTTTGTCAAGGGCTGATACTGTTTGTACTAAGAAAAATGCAGTCAGACCAGTATGACGCAAGGCAGACTGAGACGACACAATCAGTACTCATCAAAAAGAGTGCATGATCTACAAACACTGATTATTTCAGCTGACTAAAAACATCTGATTTTGAGGTTTGATGTTGAAAATGTGTCTTTTGGTTTTCTGTAGGAGTGCTGACATTGTAAATCTAATCATACTGAAGCAATACATTCCAGTCCATACTTAGGTTGCAATTAATAATTGACATATGCCAATAGTTTGCAAAATTGTGCATAAACTTTGAAAGGTAGTTAAGATTTGAACATATGTGAATGAGGTAATTTTCATAACTGGGTTGTCTATTGAGTTTTGAGTCTCCAGTGACAATTATATTGATCTGTGAGAAAGAGATAGAAAAAGAAAGTGAAATACAAATGAACACTCACATGACCCCTCCCTGAGACCCAGTAGATCTTACCTTGTAAAACCAGTGGCCTCTGGTGGCCATGCATAGAACTACAACATGAGGAAATGTTTGCATTCGTTGTGCATGATTACTTACTATTTTTGGCAGTATTTGGGCACAGGTTGTTGCATGCATTTTGATAAGAGAAAACTGTTATAATTCAGTACATGAAAGATATTAATATTAAAGCTACACCAAATGTATCTAATTGAAAATGTAAGCCCTTAGTCTGTGGAAAATCACAGCACAGCAAAAATTATGCTTGACTGTTTCCTACCTGGTATTGTGAGACAATCCAAGCCCAGTTCCATGGTCCCTGCTAGTTGAGACCTTACTTTCCCTGACAAGATGGCACCATGATGATGCAAACCCCACACCCCACACGCCCCCCTGTCTCTCTACTGTTTGCCCAACAATCAACACCATGCCAAAGACTCACCAATGGCGCACACTGTCATTACATATTCTGAAAAGACCCTCGCCACCAGCCCCCACTCCTTGGTTTTTGTTCTCCCCTTTTTTTTCACCATTAATTTCCATTGTCACCGTTCTCAGTCATGCCAGAGCTTTTCTCCTTGCTAGCTGCCACATTCTCCTCCTGTCAAGTTGCCTGGAGGTTTCCCTGTCACAGGCTGGCAGGGTGGAGCTGCTGTGGGTCCTGCCTGCCTTTGCGAGATGTTCATTTGGAGTGGGGAGCTGACAGGCCTGACAGCCCATCCCCACAGGGCCTTTGTCATGTGATTCAAGCCTCCCTGCAGGCTCTCTCAAGCACCCCTTTATTCCCCTACACAAATGAAGGCATGGGACTGGCTTTCATTTTTTGGCCAATCTGCATGCAATTGCAGAAACAAAGAAGTCCCATACCCCTGCGCCACTCACAGACAGATCTTTTAACGGGTTTGGGAGATTAACACTGGTTGCTTCTAGATTTTGGTTTCTGGTTGCCTCATGCTGGCGAGTGTTTCTGCTCTTTCACAATTAAACTGCTACATCCCTCTGTTTTTGCCATGTGTGGGGTACACCTCTTCGTCACATATTTCAGTCTCTCACACAATCAGCATGGGGGAAGGGTGTGTATGTGTGTGTGGTTTCATACACAGTGTACGTTTTAGAGTGATAATTCAGTATGAAGTAAACATTCATAGTTTGGATTAAATAATTCCCTTTTAGCATAGATTGGTATGAAATCAGTAGTTTACACTTTGTTTATATGCTTCATCAACATATTAAGCCATTAGTGTTAAACGCCATTGTGTTACTGATTTGTTCTTTCATTTTAATTTTAGGTACCAGTGATCCTTATGTCAAGTTCAAAATGGAAGGAAAACAGTTTTATAAAAGCAAAGTGGTTTATAAAAACTTGAATCCGAGATGGAATGAGTCCTTCTCCCATCCTTTGCGAGATCGAGACCATATTGTGGATGTTCGGGTAGGCATTATTTGTTTGAACAGAAATGCACTGATACAACAGTGGCTTGGCACAAGAGCCGACAATTCTGCTTAGAAATCTCTTCTGTGTTTGTAATGTCGTTGCAGGTTTATGATAAAAATCGGACTGCTGATGAATTCATGGGTTCCAGCACTATTTCCCTGAAAGATCTTGAACTGTTCAAGTGAGTGATCTATTTTTTGATAGATTATCAGGCTAATTTCATGATTAATAATCATCTTTAATCTTATGCCCTATCTGTTTCTTCATAGAACCTATGAAATGGAATTGCAGCTAGATGATCCAAAAAGCAAAGAAGATGACATGGGGGTTATTATTGTTGATGTTTGCTTACTGTTTAGAGATCCCACCATCAAAAGAGGCCCTGTAAGATCATTTCTAATATGAGACATATTTGCTGATGCAGTTCTCTGTCCATAGTCTTCCTTAAGTTGCTTTTATTAATTAATGTAATTCCTTTCGTTTCATAGATATGGCATGCGAAGAAGAAGAATAAGGTATGGATTTTAATAATATTACATTTACTTTTTAGCTTGTAGTACCAAATTTTATCCAGAATGCCAGTAGTGTTTCTGTGTTCAACTTAGCCATTTATTCAGCGCTTATGGTTGTTCCGATGTAAAGCACTAGGGGGCAGTAGCTCACTGTAATATGGTGCAACAAAGCTTTTAAGGTGTATGCTCAAAACCCTTGCTTTTGTGTATAGTCTTGGCTTTAGCACAGCCTTATTCTTTTGTGGTTATAGTTTTTTTTTTCGATGCATATTATTTTTAGTGGTAGGCCTATCATTTACTGTGGAAATGTATGGTGCAATATTACATTCTGATGAAAACCAAAATAATAATATTGACTGAATATGTTGTCATGAAAGAGCCCTTAGATGAGTATTATAGAACAGTATTTGGTTTTGTGGTAAACAAAGTTACATCTCCTCTCAAGTGGTTTTCAGTATATTGCAGCTGTAATTAGATTCAGAGTGAAATAAGAGGGTTGCTGTTTGGGACTCGCTTTGCAGCGAGTGGGTTTATATTCACACCTATGTAGTCACTACATCTGCCACTGTTCAGTCTCTTGATGGTCCAGTAGACAATCTCAGTTTGAAATTAGATGACAAAGGAATGAAGCCATTTTCATACACATTGTAGGTTATCCACTACAGATGGCTAAAGATACTCAAAGGGAGACAGAAATGTGTGATGGGACTCTACACAGCGTTCTGCTGCCTAAATTACAGTGCTAATTTAACAATGTAACAATGCCATTTTTTCCCATTTCATTTTTGACAAACATACAATGTCTTATTGCATTTAACACCTATCCTGGAAGTGCTGAATACCCAGCTCTTGCAGCTCCACTCCCCCTCTTTCAGAACATCGTTTTCTCCCTCTGTGTTACCACCACAGAGACGGGGAATGGCAAGTGCCTAAGTAAAACTCTGCTGTGTGATAGTGTTTCAAACAGGAGGGGGGCATATGGGAGAAGCGGGAGGGGGGCTCTGCTGCTCGAGGCATGTTGCCAGTGTGGAATGCCTAAGATCGGCAAGGCTGATAATTCTCAGGCATAGCGGGCAATAACCCAGATGTTAGGATATAATATCACAGCTGTGGATGGACAGTGCTGAGGTACCAGCCAAATGGACCTGGGTCTGAGCTCATCGTTCTTGTCCCCATGCTGTCCCACCATATGGAAGCAATCGCACAGCCCTTTTAGGACCAGGAATAGATTCTCTTTAGGGGCCACTTACAGTTAAGTGGAATTGTTTTATTGGCCGCTGAGATAGAAATGTGTCCAAGATAAACACTTGGGATGACTTGGCTGAGGCCTGTTTTATATCGCTCCTCTACTCCCTCTGTTCCTCTTCTTTTGAAGGGGCTGATATTTATAGGGCTGTGCCTGTGGTATTCCATGTTAATTCAGGTCCCTGAGATGTGCTTTGATCCCCTCCGGATTGGGTGGCAATGTGGGTTGTGACCCTGTAGTGAAGAGGAGGGGCCGGAATGGCAGGGGAGTTGTAGTGCGGCTGTTTGAAGCAGCATCGCCGGGGCAGCCGAAGGAGCTGGGCAATCAAAGAGGCTAGAGCAGATTATGGTCCTGCTCTTTAATTACAGTCAGCCCTACACAACCTCTCTGCTGTTTGTTTTTACAGCCCTGGCCTATCACTGCACAGCCTCACGGGAACTCTTACATGGAAACATATCAAGGCCTCTCTCGCTCTCATTCCCTCTGTGACACATGGCAGGAGAAGTGGATTATTTGCTGTGCTTGTCCTTGATTTCCTTGATTCAAAGCTTCAGGTTCATAGGAAATATGTTATTTTTGCTGATAAAATGAAATGGATGAATTTGCCAACATGCAATCAACTCTGATGCTGGCCATACATACTGCATGTATGCATAATTCGCTGATGAGAGAGCTGTGTGGTTTGCATCATTACTCAGTGCTGCCTGCTGTCTCTGGTGCAGTATGCCAAGTGTCCTGCCTCCCCACACTCAGTCTGGGAGCCAGTGATGAGTGGGACTGTCACATCCAGGGACATCTGGCTGCTTGCTGACATCCCTCTCTTCCTCTCTCAAGGAGCCTCCGTGGTGTGGCTTGCCTGTCAGTAGAGATGTGCTAATGTGCTCCAACAGAGATGTGCTGTATAGTGTAAACCTTTGTCCTACTTTCATGCACTCTGTGAACATGATGAGGTGCCAGGCTGAGGCAGGAGCAGGTAAACAGAGAGGAGCACACAGAGCTTCCACACAAGGTGCTTTTAAAAAACTATAATTATCTATGTTTATCTGTGTGCCCTGCAGCTGAAACAGGCCACGCCATCCAGGCAGCCAGCTGAAGCGCAGAAGTATCAGCTGAAGAACCAGATGTGGACCAGGATCCTCGGCATCACCTTGGTGGAAGGACAGGACCTGCCGCAGTATGGCCATGGGGACATTTACGTCCGCTTTCGCCTTGGTGATCAGAAGTACAAGAGCAAGGTTGAACTTGTTTTTGAAAAAGTTTTTCCTATTTCCCACTTCTCCTACGCTCCCCTTTCTCATCCTCCTATGTCTTTTTAATGTCTGCTCTTTATACTTCAAGTCTTTCCTTCCAGCCCCTACCTGCTTCCCGGCTTCTTTCTTTCAGCAGGTGTCTGTCAGCAGCAGGTGACTCACCTCCACCTTGGCTTACTGGGCCATGGCAGAGGGAGCTCATTAGACTGGGCAAGGCTGCCACTCACTCCTGCCTGCGCTTCGGGTGCTGGGCTTCATTGCCTTCATTTGCATACCCAGCATGCCCCGTTCATCTACCTGTACTTGTTGGCCTCCCCCCTGATGATTCTGTGGTGCACTTGTCTTGTGTTGTCGTGTCATTTCTTTGTAAACCTCTCTGCTTTCCTCTCTTCTTGTTTGTTTGTTGAACAAAGCTGATTCTAATTGGAAGCTGTCAGTGTTTACAATCCCAGAGTGGCTACTGAGGTGCACACATACAGGCACACACAAATAGAGACACATACACATAACACACCTCTCTTTCTCCTCTCCTGCCTCATTCTGGTTGGACTGAATGAAGACTTAATCCATCTGTCATGCAGGAGCCGCTCGGTCCGATGCACAAACCTGACAATTTGTCGAAAGCATATGAGTGTGCGTGTGTTTCCATGTTACTCGTTATCGTATGTGCTCAATCTGTGTCCTTACTGCCCTCAGAACCTTTGCATTCAGGCCAATCCCCAGTGGCGAGAGCAGTTTGACTTCAATCTGTTTGAAGATAACCAGGAACCTCTGCAAGTGGAGATGTGCTCAAAGAGAGGGAGGAAGGGTGAGGAATCATGGGGAATGTGAGTATCTCCTGGTGGGTTGTGTTAATTTCTGCTCACACTGGCTCCTTTACAGAACTAGTTGGCCTTATCTGTTTCAGTGGAGTGATTTTCTTTTTGTTTCTCAGGTTTGAGATTGACCTATCGAGTCTTCCACTTAATGAGAGGCAGCTCCACACTCATGTGCTGGACCCAGGAAAGGGCAGCCTGGTGTTTCTGGTCACCCCGAGATCCTGCTGGGGAGTCTCCATCTCTGACATCGAAGCAGCTCCCTTGGAGAAGCCTGATGAGAGAGATGCAGTTGAGAATAAATTTGTAAGTCTCTAATTGTTTGTATAACATCCTGCTGCTGTTTACAGCTGAGTAATGATCCTAATGTCAGTTGATTCAATAAGGAGAACAAATGTGTCACATGCATTTTATGAAAGGCCGGGGGACACATTTTCAGTGACATTAACACGATTCTATTTCACACCAGGTTTTAAGGATGCATTTTTATGTGATAGTTAGTCACTTACAAAGGTATTTTAATCATATCCATTGTTTCAGAGCTTAAAGAACTCATACAACTGTGCTGGGGAGGTTGGCTTCCTTCAGGTCAAGGTTATAAGAGCAAATGATCTTCCTACAACAGACCTCAATGGTAATTTGTAACAGTTTACTCCTCTGCTTTCTATTCTCATGAATATTTTTATGATTTCTTTGCATTAAATAATAAAGCACATTTGTCATTTGCAGTAAAAAGCAACCCCTTATGTGTTCTTGAGCTTGGTAACAGCAAACTTCACACTCACACAATCTACAAGACCGTAAATCCGGAATGGAACAAAGCTTTTACACTGTAAGTAAGACATCTGACGAAAAACACTGGGACATCACTCATTTACAGAAGTATTCAGACCATTAAAGCAGTATTTTAAAGAAGCAAATACAGCTTTGAGCCTTCGTAAGTAAGTCTCTACAAGTTCTGCACACCTGGATTGGGGCAGTTTATCCCATTCTTCCTGACAGATCCTCTCATGCTCAGATTGGACGGGAAGCATCTGTGAACTTTCATCTTCAGGTCTCTTCACAGATCCTCTGTGGATTTAAGTCAGGGCTTTGGCTGGGCCATTCACGGACAGTCAGTGACTTGTCCTGAAGACGCTCCAGTGATGTCTTGGTTGTATGATTTGGGTCATTGTCATGCTGAAAAGTGAATCATCCTCCCAGTGTCAGATTAGGTTTTCTTCAAGGACCTCACTGTATTTTGCTGCATTGACCCTTCACTCATTTCTGACCAGTCCCTGCTGTTGAGAAGCACCCCCACAGCATGACGCTGCCACCACCATGTTTCACCGAAGGGAAGGTATTAGCAGGTGATGAGCAGTGCCTGGTGGTCACCAGACAGAATGTTTGGATTTCTGCCCCCCAAAAAAGTTTAGTTTTTATCTCATCAGACCAGAGAATATTTTCCTTCATGTGTTCAGAGTCCTATAAATTCCATTTAGCAAACTCCAAGGAAACTGCCTTTGACTCGATGTTTGTTATTCAGACTCACTCAAAGGCCTGATTGATGGAGAGCTGCTGAGATGGCTGTCCTCAAAGGTTTTCCCATTACTTGCAGAGAACTTCAGAATCCCTTTTAGAGTGACCATCAGCTACCTTACTCAGTTTGGCTGGAGTTTTACAACCTTGCCCTGATCTGTGCGTTCCAAAAGTTTTATCACAGGCTTCTAGAGACAGCTCCTTGGACCTTATGGCTTGGTTTTCATGCTGATGTAGAGTATGTATATGTCCAGTCAGTTAAACGTTTGCCACAGGTGGAATCCAGTAAACTTCTAAACACATCTCAAGAAATATTAAAGCAAACAGGATGCATGTGACTACAGTTTGGTGTCACAGCAAAGGATCTGAATACTTTGTGTAAATGAGTTTTCAGTTATTGATTTGTAATAAATTTTAAACTTTATGAAGCAACTATATATCCTGTTTTGTTTTGTATATGTTAATGTAAATAACATTTGTGTAACTCTTATCTGCATGTTCTAGCCCTATTAAGGACATCAGTGATGTGATAGAGTTGACTGTCCTCGATGAAAATGGAGACAAAGCCCCAAACGTTTTGGGGAAGGTGGCCATTCCTTTACTAAGTGTACGTTTGTTTAGTTTGCAAAACTCTTACATGTTGACACCTGAAATACAAAATATACTGTAAAATCATTGTAAATTATGATTATGGATATACTTTATTTTTAAATTCCAAAAGGTTCAGAATGGGCAGCAGATTTGTCTGTTTTTGAAGAAAGAAAACTTGGGAAGTGTGTCTAAAGGAACCATCACACTGGTGCTGGAGGTTATCTATAACACAGTAAGAATCAAATTGAATGGGATCAAGATTTTAAGCATGGTGATAACATTCTGCATCACATAGTATGAAGTAAAAAGTGTAGTTAAACTACAGTATTGTATGTTAGGATTAATTTTTTCACTTCTTCTTTCTTTATACCAGGTCAGAGCTGGTATCAAAACCTTCCAGCCGAAGGAGACAAAATTAATGGAGGAAAACGTGAAGTTCAATAAAAAGGTTATCTCTTGATATTTTTAGCAGATGGAACAAAAAAGCTTTCCAGAAGGTTCCCCTTACAGCCCACTAATAACATAGCCACAACAAAGCCACACATAGTCATACTTTTAATGGTCATAACTAAGCTAATTAATTAATTGGACTTCACAAATAGCAAATTAGGGATTTTAAAGCCAATTCAACCCTTGCAAAGTTATACACATTATGTCCAGTGCTGAATGATAATACCTGGTGTTTTGTTCCAATTATTTGCCATTAGGTTCTTGCCCAGAATATATATCGGGTTCGAAAAATCAGCACAGCAGTTCTGTACACGTTACAGTACATTAAAAGCTGTTTTCAATGGGAGAGCACGCAACGGAGTCTAATAGCCTTTCTGGTAAGTCATTGCCTCACGTTAATGAACTCTCTTTAAGCCTTGGGGCAAACAAATGTTGTCCCATTTCACTGCAACCCAGGTTTAACTCTTTCATTTTATGTGAATTAGATGTTGAGGAGAAACTTTGGTTTAGCCATTTTCTCTCTCTGCACTTTTTCCCATGAAAAACAATGGCTGCTTTCTGTTTTTATCCAGTGTGTATGTGATGGATGTGCTTTATCCTTTAAATCAAACCCCACTTGGCTTTCCTTCAGTTCTGATGACATTAGAGTGTATTTGAAGGGGTGGGATTTTGGCGTTTGTACATCTGACTTCTTAGCAAAGCCTCCTAACCCGTGGGACGGTGTAAGGAGGATCACAGTCTCAGATTCCTTGGGCGGAGGAGTGACAGTCTGCCTCAGAGATTTGAACCTTGTTTAAATGTCTCTGTTTAGCTGTTTTTTAATGAGGCTATGTGATCTAGGATCCTAAGCTTAAATAATCTTAAATCACCATGTGAATCCCCCTCAGTGCAGCACATGTAATGTCATGATTAAGAGTGTACACTTGCCATGAAAGCCCAACCTGCGCTGTGTTAGGGTGAGGAAGCGGTCACAGACAGGGTGTGTGAAGAACTCTTCTTTCACTGCCTTTCTTCTGTCTGCTCTGTCTCAGGATGACATGCAATTCATACCTGGTGTATTCTGTAAGCCCTTCTCACTGATCCTGAGGTGCAAATCCCCCCAGGCAATGGCCAGGCTCAGTGTATCACAGCCTTTAGAACAGCACAGCACACAGACAGGCGGACACACAGACAAGAAGAAAGAGAACAATGCAGGCGATTGTAAAAGGATAGAGTGGGAGGCAGGCTACTATCTGGGAAAGAAAGTTGGAGAGCAGAAAGAGGAAGACAGTTCGCTAAAAGTGTGGTCTATGAAGGCAGATAGCGAGAGACTTGGGTGCAGGGATATGTGCAGGAGAGCAGGGGGATAGGTAGGCTGACAGGTGACAGGTCAGTGGGATAGGGCCATCCTCTTCCACTTATAATTAGATCCTCTGCAGGTGATGGGTGTGTGTGGTGCCACGCTTTAATCTTTCATTTCCACTTCTACTCCACTTGCTGTTTAGCAGTGCAGTGCACAAATAGAGATCATAGAATGAGGAAAAAAAAACTGTACATATTCACTATTTTTATCACGATTAGTATTTTTACAGTAGTGCAGTCCTCTCCAGTCTTATTTTTATCATTTGTGTGTTATCTGCTCCCTGACAGTGAAATGGTAATCTTTGTGACTTTGACACAGTAGCTGCTTTGTCCTTATGTTTGAAACTACTGATCTGTTTTTATACACCAACATAGTGGCTTTTAAAAGCTTAAAAATATCAGGCACCAAACAGTAAACAGAGTAGTCAGCGTACACGCTTGTCTGCAGTGAGGTGTGCTTCAAATAGTCTTCAAAGTGTCAAAGGTGCACGGTGAGGATCGCCCAAACAAAGTAGATCTGCCGCTGCGTATTCATCACCCACTTGTCAACGGACCGTGACTTTATCAAGTGAAAAGTTCTTTTTTTTTTGTCCAGTGGTTTCTTACATTCTTGACAAGTTACTGTACAAGCATGTAATTGATAGTAACAGTAAAAACAGTCGGTGAAGGTAACGACTAGGTCTTGACTGACTGTCATTACAAGCTCAATGCCATGCCACTGTCCTCACCTGTGCCTCGGCCTTCTCCAAGGCTGGACACCGAACAGGCACTCCTCCTCCACCGAGTCATCATTTGAAATTAAGTTAGTGTTTGGAGCTGTCTAAAGCCACCATTCCACCATGTGCCTAAATGAAAGCAGCTCCCACTCCTATCTTTATATCTTTAGGCAGTGGTAATAAGGTAACTAATTCAGACATTGACAGATGGCCTCTGCTTGCCTCTCAGATGTGCATAATTATACCACAAGTGTCTGCTCTTTTCCACAGTGGCAGACAGCGCAGGGCTTCTCAGGGTATGCTGGTAGGAAACACTGCAGTGGCAGGCCTAGCTTTATTATACATTACAATCCATTATTTATCAAGCAGGCAAAGCAGTCCTACCCTTTTACACCATATACATCCTGTAATGCATTACCGCTGCTGTGGTTTCTACTGGGACTGCGGGATGCTCGTGTAGTGCTTTACCAGGAATACTTAGCCATTATATCAGTCGTTCCCACAGGCCAATTTTCTGACCTCTACACATCAAGCAGTCTACATTGCTATCCTGTTTATGTAGATTCATGTATGCATTATGAAGTGGTTGTTGGTGTGTGGTGTGTAAGGTATTCAAATTTTGCTTGAAGGATCACCACTCTGGTTTGCATTAGTGAATGGGAATGTGGGGAAAGTGTGTGTTTTTTTTTTTTTTGTATGGTTTTTTTTTTTCCTTTTGGAGAAGTGTTGTTTGTTCATATCAAGATAACTTTCCCCTCACAAGTGGCTATCAGAAAGCCGCACATCTCGAACATATAAATTCAACATTTACAGACTGATGGGCTGGTTTTATGCTGCTAGTGAGTGTGTGAGAGGAATGGAAATGCTTGCAGTATTGCTTGCAAGTGCAGAAGGTTACTTGTTTTGATTATGCAATCTCATAGGTAGAGTCCACACTGTTTGAAGTTGCCTTAGAATTCCCACCAATGGGTTGCAGGATTGAAATAGAGTCTCTCTAATTAGGTAATGTAATAAAAAAAAAGAAATCTGAGAAGGAAAAAAATCTTTCTCATACATTTAAACAAAGTTTGGCGAATTCCTCAAACATTTTCATCAGTGAATGGAAATACAAACAAGAAATTAAGATTTTTTTCACCCCCCTCTGCTTGTTTATGCTACAGTAATGAGCCTAGGATCTGCACTTTTCAAGACTTTGACAACAACATCTTCCTTTCTCTGAGAGAGGGAAAATGTGACAGCTAAAATCTTCATAAAATAATGGCCTTTAGATGTGCTTTTCACTAAGACTGAAAGAGATGAATGTGCTATACATCAGCACTGACTGCAGAGGGGTCACTCAGAGTTCTTTGCTGCACACAAGGATGGGACCTGTAGATGGAGCTACAGCACTGCTGGAAATATGAATGGAGGCGCTAAGGAGATCAGTTACTTTTCCCACCAGGAGTCATTCGTGGGAACAACTTAGAGTAGAATCCTCTATTCTGTGCATTAAACCAAGGGACAAGTTTCTTCCACTTTAAAAAGAAAAAGAACTAAATGAGCATGTATCATCCAGCCAAATGAATCTGTTTCAGAAGTTTTAAGTTGAGAGCAATTTTGATTTAGATGAAATAGATGAAAGTTAAAAAGGAAAAAGGATCATTTACACTTGAAAGCTGATTTTGAGCTTTGCTGTCATTAGACCACTTTAAGTATTTAAGTAGAATTAATATTTTAACATATGAGGTACCTCATCTGTCAGGAGTTAGACTAGAAAGAAACCTGTATACCTTATGTGAGTATTTGAACTGTTTTCTTTTTGACACTGCCAGGTAGCAACCGCTTTAGACATCATTTGACAGCCTGTGAAATGCTGATTGCCTCACATCACACACTGTAAAGATGGCATTTGATGAATGTTTGATGCGGTGCAGCTGTAAACACACTTGGCAGCTGCAACTGGCTTTTTTTTTTTGGTGGGCTGATAGAATCATCCTCTCCCCAGATGAGGGCAGTTCAGGGTCAGATCTGGTTCCAGAGGTCTCAGGAGACCACCTGTGTAGAGCCACAGCAGTCGGGGCCATTAACCAGAATACCAGCCTGGCCGAGATCAAAGCCATAATCAGAGTTGTCATAATTGTTCTTGTTAACACCATCCCTGAAAATGAGATGCTTTGTGAGTCTTGGATCTGCCCGTTTGTGGTTTACTGCATTGCAGTGTGGCCGAGCTTTTGTGAGAACAGTGAGAGGACTGTGGATGCCTGCGAATTTTCTCTTTGCTTCTGCTTTGCATCTGTTTTCTCTCTGTTTGAAAAAGTTAGAGGCCTTAAATGAGTGGGTTTCTTCATTCTCATGGGGGTTATAGTCTTCATCTTCATGGCTGTGGGAGTTCTCACAGACTGTGCAGTGGGAATGTGTCTAGTAGGAAAAAAAATGATGGCAGTGATTCCAATGTGTGTATGCATGGTTTCAGTCTGAGATCTATTAATTATTAAATGATAAGCTATGACTGCTTGGAAACTGCTCAGCAGTGCCTCCTGACTTAACACAGTATTATTATTTAGCTGCCCCGAATGGCTATGTGTCAACTCAAAGCTCTTGAGGCTGGCTGAATGCAATATGTAACCTTGAAACATGTCCCCTTATTAGTGGAACTAATAAGCTTTCACTTTTAATATTTATTTCATTAGTGCTGTGAAATTGTTCCCATTTTTATATCTTTTAGGACATGGATTTCATTTAAGAATGTGACTGATTTTATTTCAAAGTAACCAAATTCATCAGTATTATTTAGTCTTATTAAACAACATGAAGTAACTTAAATATGAACAAGTGTAATCAGGATAATATTAGTTGACTTCACAAAATAAACGTGTTGACACCTGAGTAGGCTAGGCTTTGTCTGTTCATCTGTTGTACTTTTGTTGTTTTATACTATATGTGTTTTCAGGCTAGATGAAATATGCTCTGTGTTTAACCCCATTCTGTGTGCTGTATCATAATGACCGCCTTTAACATACTCACCACCGTCCTAGCCACAGAGGACACCTCTCCCCAGGCAGCTGAGGCGGCGACCTGTCTGCCCCGTGTGTGGCTGTTCTTGGCCCCGGCGCGTTAATGTGCATGTGAGCCGAACTGACAGGGAGAGAGAGTCCACGCCACTCCCTCTCCACCTCCTCAGGGGAAGAGGCTCGCATGGCAGATCTGTCACCCAGGAGGTTGCTCAGTGTTAACGCTTCCGACACAGATTAAACACTAGTGGCCAGTGCTGGAGTGCAGGGTCAGTGTAGCCACCACTGACAGGCACCCCCTGGCCCTCGCTGACTGCCCTACTTCGGCCTCATACTGCAGCTACTCTGGCCCTGGCATGTGTCAGACAGGTGGGGAGACAATGGCCAGAGCTGGCCCTCTGAGCAAATGCTAATGCTTTGCCTCACACGCCCATTCTTCCTCAGTGCTTTGATAAAGAGGTGCTATCACTGATGCACTGCACCTTGTCAGCATCCTTACATGCTGTGGCATTTGGTTATTATTTTGCTATAGCTAACCCTTTGTTTACAAATTAGTAATCAGTGAATTTGCTGAAATTTGGCTATATAATGCCATTTAAAATTTTTTATGGTTTAATTTTAGTTTTGAAATTTCCAAGGAGTATATTTTGTTTATGGTTACATTTAGCTGTGGTTGTATTACTATTTTATTTCTATACTATATTGCTATATTTATTCTGTTGCTTTTTTAAGCCAAAAAATAAACGTAATAGTCAGTGCCAATCTTAGGACCCTTATTTGATTTGAAAATTGATTTATGAATTGTAACACACTCCAGAACTGCTGCCGCCGATTTCGACCTGCTGAAGAGGGACACGAGATCCCTCGTTTTTATCACTTTCGCTCAAATACAGTACAGCCTTTTTTCTTTCACCTCATCTTCCTCTCTCTCTCTTTTCCCAGTTGATAAGACTTGAGCTGAGCGTATGTGAAATATTTATTCAGTGTTAGCTCAGAGCACCATGGCTGCCCACACACTCTACCTGCCCTGAAGAGAAATCTTATCTGTGCTTCCTCTGCCTCCGACACCCTTCTGAAAGCCTGTCCCCACACTGGCCCAAGCTCAACACAAATTACATGTCTCATTGCTCTGTGTTTACAGCTATTTTAAAGCCTGCCACTGCTGTCCCCAACATACAGTAAGCCCTCAGCAAGACTGTGTTTCACTCTGTCTGGTAAAAAAGGAAGAAAAAAAAACAACTAGCGACCTGTGTGTGCTGAGCTGCTACTTTGCCTTTGATTCATTATTAATCTCTCTCTCTCTCTCTCTTGTTTTTAATTGAGGAGGTAATGCTGATTAATTTTACTGCCCTTGATTTTACCCAGAAAAGAACATCTCTATCTGAGTAAAGCCTTTTCAAGGTTTTTGTAGAGGCTCATATCTATTTTCTAAAAGAATGTTCATTTTAATTTATTTTCCCGATAACTGTATACATACTCGCAAACGCACAAAACAAATCAAACACACAGACACAGACAAGCGCACATACTCAAACTCTGCTGCATGTAGTCAGTCTTGTTAAACTCTTTCAGTATATGTTCACGTAATCTGACATTTGTCCACGGCCCCTGTGATTGACCCTCATAATGTTGGCTGGTGCTCTTTTTACTTTGTTTAGCTTGGAATGCAACTGAAGTGAAGTAGTGAAGATACAGCCAAGATTAAATCTGATGTATTTTGGATGGTAAATTGTGTTTATTTTAATATATCATGTAAAAAATAGTGGAAAACTTTTTTAGTTAGCTTAGTTAACTCATTAACTATTAGTTAGCTCATTAACAGTATTGTGTGTAATACCAATGTGATGCCTATATTTATAGCCCCTGGTCTGTTGTAGTGTATAAGGACAGCATTTGGGAGCCTTGCAGTCTGATGGCACTGTACGTCTGTCTGTCAGCAGTTTGAGCTGGTAGACTGGGCCACCTCTCTGTTAATCAATTTACAGGCTGGTGGCAACTCTTATAGAAAGTGTCTTTGTCCGTTTGTCCCTGCTATGATTCCTTCTCCATCTCCTGGGAGAGTGTGGGTGGTGGGAGCTGCCGTGCTTGCTCAGCTTTAAGTTATTTTATTCACACTTTTAATAGCTGAGTGCTTTATTATTAGGTGCTGGATTCCGCTGGCCAGGGGATCTACATGAGAAGGTGCTGAATGCATTTAGTGGAATCATATTAATGGCACTATAAAACAAATCTGTCAGGCTGTTCTTAACCCTGCTGGCAGAACAGCTCTGCCCAGGGTTGCCCCCTTCTCCAAGCGCTTACAGGTGGCTAAGGAGAGTGCATCTCCATCATCTACTCTACCGTTTGCTAATAGTTTTATGAATTCATTCTCTCTTTTTCTCCCTAGGCACCATGTGCATAATCATACAGACATTTTTCAGCTAAATGGTGTTTGTCAAGGGAGTTTTCCTACATTAGAGACACTCTTCCCATGCACAAGACATACTAACACTTGTTCAATTACAAGTCATTCGTTATATAGTTCTGATATATGTAGACCTAAATGTTCAGGCACAGTATGTTATTAATGACCTCCCTTAACTTTTGCTTGTTGCTTTGTTTTTGGTTAAATTAATGATTGTTTACCACTCACGCAACATATTAGCATTGTCATGTTGAAGAGCTTTGAGGTTTTACTTGTCATGTATAATTTAGAGAGATGGAAAAAAAAAAATTGCACTCAAGCCCTTAAGACTGAAATGGAGCCCATCTTTGATGGCAATTAAAATATGGATTATTTTATACAAATTTACACTTCTACCTGAAAGGTTGCACTTAGTCCAACATGCCCTTTAATCACTCAGCTGCTTGATAGTAAAACATAAGCCACTTAGTGGGGAATTAGTTCTGTCTCCATTTCAAGGAAAGGCTGGAGAATGTGGAGAGACAAGGGGAAGGTACAGTATAGTCCCGCCTGCTTATTACCGTGGGATATCTGACGGCCAAATCTCAGTCTGTGCACCTGAGTGAAGCAATCTGGGAGGTTTTCCCAGATGTTTCTCTCTCTATTGTTTTTATTAGTGTTAAAAAAGCATGTAAATCCTGAACACATGGGCTGACATACCATGAGGGAGGAATTGAGAAGATATTTCTGACAGTTTTGGTTTATACCCTCATTTAAGCACTCAGTTTGGACACAACGCATTTTATTTCTGTAGGCTTTTATCTTGTCCACTGAGCCAGAACACGGTGAGCAGAAATTTGCATTAGTGGGCGATTATGAATACCTATGACAGATTCTCGCTGCCAGCTCCCTGGGCGGAAATGAATTGGCTCCCTCTGTTGACTCGCACAGGAAGACAGAGACCAAGCAATTAGACTTTAGTTTTCAGGCACATTTTCCCCTCTTTTCTTTTTCTTTTTTTTACAAGAATACTGGGAATATGACAAGCTACCTGTCCACCAGCCAGCTGAATTCCTCTGGGGTGAGGAGAGCGTTGCTTTAGAATTGCCTCATGGGAACCGAGGTGACAACACATGACGTAGGTTATTCATAACGGAGGGAAGATGTACTGCAGCTACCTCTGCATATCATGCATATTCATTGTTTACTTTTTTTTTTTTGAATCCCCCACCAGCTTCGGTTTGTTGCTGCACACTGTGCATTCAGATAAACTTGTCTTGGTCATCCCTTTGTGATTGTGCATGACACCTTAGTTTGCCGAACATCTCTCATGTTGTATGAATAGACAGTATGATAAACAACGCAGGGGTGAAGCCTGTGGCACGTGCGCCACAGTGTTGTCTGCTTTACTCATGGTTCACATTTCCCTGGCGGCCATTTGAAGCTAGGCCTGGTGTGGCAGTAGGTAGACTGGTCCCCTGAGCAACATGCATGGACTATGCTTGGTTGCTGTGACAGGAGCAGTCTGCTGTTTACAGGCCTGCTATTGAGGCCTGAAGGCCTCGGTGCTTCACATCCTGTCTCGGGCTTAACTTGAACATATTGTTCATACCCTAACCAGCCTCCAGCTACTTAAGCCTCGACTTCACAGTACTGCATCATATGGTTTCAGTATAACCGGTACATACAATGTTTTTAATTGCACTTTGTAAAAAAAACATATTTTATTAAGTACAATAAATGTAACGGTTGCAAATTATGTATTTATTATGGGAAATATTGTATATAAACTATGAGGAAAAAATTACCTTGTCAACGATGTATGTGGTAAATAGAAGTGGACCATATGTTGGGTATATTGGCACATAATGACACAATAATAGATTTTAGGATTCAACTTGCTGTGGGTGACATTTTTATTTTATCCCTGTCAACCTGCTAGTATGAACCTCCTCACACATCCCTGATAATTTCAGTTGGAGACAGACTCATTAGGCTGTCACTAAATGGGTTTAAATGCAGCAGTCCAATTAGTGCTCTGCTGTGAAATGCAGTGGGTGTTGTGCAACGTGCTTAGCACCACTCCTTTACAGAATTATGAAAGATTACTTATTCAGTGTGATCCATCTTATTTCTATCAGGGGTCTTGGCTTTTCTCAGTATTATCGCCACAGAGGGGGTAAATGTTGCAAATGCTTCTCCAGTCGCCATATGTGCATCGTCACAGAGACTCACTGCCTCCGACTCTAAGAGGATTTGATGTGCTAGTTAAAAGACAGCATACCATGCTTATCCATGTCATACTTTCTGTTCAGCAGTAAGGCACTCTGCCAGCACAGTGTTATTGGTGTGTGTATATAAATAGGATTTCTAGATATTAAAAGTTCTCCTTGAATGTTTGTTACTTTCAAACCACTAAGCAAAAAATCTGTTGCCGTCGGCTGTAAATCTCCGAGGCTTTACATTCTGTAGTGCTTTTCATGAGATTTAGAATGTGGTTAAACCCATTATAGATCTTGCTTTGGGAACAGGCTTGCTGAGATTTGAAAACTGGATAAGGATGCTATAGTGTGATGTGCTTTGTGTTCCTCTGTCATGTCCTGTGTCCTCAGATCTTCCTTGTGACAGTGTGGAACTGGGAGCTCTTCATGCTGCCCCTGTTCCTGCTTCTTCTCATCGGATGGAACTACTTCCAGCTCACTGCAGGGAAGGACACTTCCAACCAGGACCTTGTGAGTGACAAGGACTCTGAACTCCACAGTGTTCATCCACAGAGATCTATAGAGACATACAGTTTGAGTGCACATTCAATCGACTGCATATGTTAACCCACCTACGATCAAACCGCGATGGAATGAAATCATACTGCACTTTAACACTAATGTCAATTAACAGTTTGTACGCTCTCATATAGCCACACACAACCAATCCAGTTTAATACAGCAGTCCTGCAATACATCTGCAGATTCAAATATAATTAATAAATCCTGTTATAAATGAAGGTGATACTGTTTAGTTTTTGTTGTTCTGTATGGTCATTTTGTATGATGTCGTTTGTGCTGCTTTAAAACTGTATTGAATTGTACAGATAGGTGTTTTTATTATTTAGCCCAAGGCCATTCATATAAATAGGGTGGACAAAATAATAGAAACCAGTGTTACTATAATGCAGTACAGTTCAGCCGCAGAAACTGCACCTTCCAAAGTTGAATCAGCACCTCTGTAAAACAATTTCAGCAAAACCTGAACACTATAGCATATGGAGGAGGATTTATTGCAGGATTGGCTGTACGAGACTGCAATAGTTTTAGATGTACCTATTAAACTGCCAACTGAGTGTATACTGTATTATACAGAAGCTGTTCCATAAAATGCATCTCCGAGTACAGTCATTTGTGGCAGCATTTTACATTTTACAGTTGGCCAGGCTGGTTTCTACACAGTTTCCAATGAAATAAATAATAAAAATAAAAACATCAAGCCTAATAAAACATCAAGTAGTAAGACGCCACTAAAATGCATTACTGTAAATGGAAGCATAGCCTTTAGTCTGTTGATATCGTCCCACCACATCTGTAAAGGCAGGATTTCAGTTCTTTTCACAACTTACCACAGTCTCCTCTCTATCTGCTGTTATGGAAACTGTGCCCTACACATGTCTGTGAAGGTTAATGCTGTTCACACTTCTGACTGCCCCCCAATTTCACTATGTTGTAAGCCTTCTCCCCGGCCAGCCAGGGGCTGGCCCGTTCGCACACCCTCCCCAAAGCAACATCCCCAGTGAATGATTGTGTTTATGGCTACTGGCAAAGATGCCATCCCTGGGCAACATTAAAACCCAGGCTCACCCTCATATCCAGTGTGGAGAGACTGTCACCCCTCTGTGACCCTCTGGCCCACAATGACACAGCTCTATTCCCTGGCAGTGTCACAGTGTGCACCATAGCGGGGTCAGGGATGACTTGATATAAAGTGATCTAGGCAACAGCATCCAAATTAAATGTGTTTTTTTCTCTTTCCTCTTTCTGTTTTTCTGTGAGCTTATGTTGGGGAGAAATGAGATTGCTTTGGTGTGACAGTGCTCTTGTGAGGAAGGCCCTCTTTCACCTCTCCTTTTGTGTGAGGTCACCCCTGTGATGCAGTCTCTATGGAAACAAGCCTCTCCCAATAGGGGTGAATGTACTCAAAGAAAATTCCATTACTAGGTGTTTGTTAAAAATGCTCCAGTGCCCACATGTCCTGTTCGTTTGAATTCACCCTCTACCCTATATTTTGTCTTAGGTGAACATGACCATTGGTGAAGACGACGAGGAAGATGAGAAGGTATATTATCTTGTCTCCTTTTAACATTTTAAGGGATAATTTGTTTACCACATCTTGATTTTCACTGTAAATAAATACAAATATATCTTTTACGCTTTACCATAAACACTTACAGTGTTATAGTGACATTACTCAGTGGCCTCTATAGAAGTGTGAACTCTGCTAATATTTTGTCCTGAATAACCAAGGTGAAATCAAACACAACAGCTATGATCCAACTAAGGCTTTTTTTGAAAACAGAAAATATTCTACCAAGGTACCATACCAGTCTTAGTCAGTTTGTTACCACAGTCGCCATGACAGTTGTTTCTCAGAAGCTCTTTTATGGCTAAGAATAGAAATATTTTCATGTCTCCTAAATGAGGGCAGCATCTATGAAACAGTTGTACAATGTAGAATGCAGCTCTTTATTTTGTTCCTCTGGGTATTCAGTGTCACTCTGTATCTCTCTGAAAATCTATAAATCAAATTTGAACTGCTTTGTCAATTAGATTTTGCACTGCTGCTGGGGACACGATAGTAGGATTTTTTTATGTTGTCATTGTGTAAATTGAATAGTTAATTTTAATACCAGAACAAATTAACAAAGTATACACAGCAGCACACTCTGCCCCGAAAGTTATCAGTCTTTTTCACTTGTTTGTTCATGAGACATCATAAATGATTTTTATTTTTATTAAATCTTTGTAGTGTCTTGAAAAACAAAACAACAGGAAATCTTTAAGTAGCCTGAAAATTACACTTCCCCACAGCACTTACTATTCAATTACACTCATCCCACTGTTTTCTATGAAGACTGAAGAGTTAACAGGGATGTGTATTATTGCTTTATGGCAATGAAGTGTGGAACTAAGGCAAAGCCTCCGAGCAATGACCCTTGTGCTGCGTGTCTAGGCCCAGGATTCATATCCATAATGCGCTCAATATATCCCGTTGTGATGACCTGGGGCTATGAAAAAAAGCCAGCTTCTTTTAAAAACACAGGCATATCCACCAAATCCTGTCTGAAAGGATGGACTAGTTTGCACATGAAACTTGCATGATATGTCAGCACATACAAAGTGGGAAGCAGCACTTGCTATTATTGCTAGGAACAGGCAAACTGATACTTAAACAACAGCAATACAGAAAATTCCATTTTTTTATGTATATAAACTCGAACATGATTATCTTTGTGTACTGAATTTATTAGCAGTCTTTCATTTGTCTTTACTTTGAAACCTCAATATATAATAGAGGAATATTTACTTTTTTAGTTTAAGAAATAGTCTTAAGAGAGGTTTAATGTTCTCTCAGTACGCTGCATCTGTTTTCAAACTCAGCATCTTAAGGCTTTTTGAAAGGTTTCCATGAGCCTCCTAAGCCCTTTCACACTCAGAGGAAATGAAATATCTCCTTTCATTTACTAATTAAGCAGTCACCCATGCTTGTTTTAAGCTGTCAGCTTTAATTTAAAGTGGCTTATTTGAAAGTCTTGTTATGGTCTTGCTGTCACTTGAATGTGATATCATGCAGTTAGATCAAGCAGTGTAGCTTTACACCTCCTATCACAGTCTTCTTTAAAATATTTAAATATTTGGGGTTAAGGAGTGATCAGTGTTAAATTTGATGACTTCAAAGCCTTTGCTTCCCCCCCAAGTCTCTCCTCTAACATGTGAATAAAAGCCTTTCCCTCCGAGAAGGTTATGTTTTTTAGGAAATATGTAAATGTCAGACAGAGCCGAAAAAGAACGTGAAGGCGGCACGTTAAAGAGAGACGAAAAGCAAGCGGTGTTACAACTGGATAATACAGAACAGATACTCTACCTGTGAACAAATCTGTCCT